TCATCTCTACAATAAATCAAAAATCAGCCGGGCGTGGTAGCGCATGCCTGTAATTCCGGTTACTCAGAAGGCTGAGGTGGAAGGATCGCCAGAACCCAGTGGGTAGAGGCTGCGGTGGCTGGGAGCGGCCACAGAACTTCAGTATGGGCGACGGAGTGAAACTCCAACTCAAAAAAATAAATAAATAAATAAAGCAATAAATGCTTCTAAAATTCACCAAACTAATGTAATCATGCATTTCATACAACCTTGATTAAGGTGCAATTGTTATTTTTTATTTAGGAATGTACTGTTTTAAAAGCCTCCCTTTTACTAAAATTTAGTTTTCTATCATGTCTGAAAAACTTTAAAATTTTGTGAATAGTCATCCATCAGAGTCACGTTAAAGATTCAATTTATGTTGAATGGCCAGTAAAAGTAGGTGGGCTAACTAATTTTGCTACCAGTGAGTCTAGCTTGAACCTACATTTGTGGGCTAATAAATATTTTATACTTACTTGCTAATGCTGTTTAAAATGTCATAATGTTATCTTGCTTTATGAAGATGGCACCACTGGTCTCCATGAATCAGTGGGGCACGTGCATTCAGTGATTTTCTGGAACTAAGGGAGCATTTGTGGTAAATTGGTCACATTTTCTCACCCAGTGAAAGATTGGCAATACTAACTTCTGACGTGGCCAGCAGAATACTTGATGTCTTTAGCCTAACTCAAAGCTATGCATGTAAACAGAGATAGGCCTCTATCACAATCACAGTTACAAACACATATTATACACTAAATTCCTCTCAGTGATCAAAAGTTCACATAAGAAAGCAAGACAGCCCATGTGAAAGTGTTAGAATAATTTTCAATTGTTGTCACTCTCTAAGATCTGCATCAGTCCATTTGTCAAGTTGCCAGAGTGCCCACGAGCAAATAAAACAATGATATATATTATAAAACCCAAGATAAATAAGTAGTGCTAAAAAAAGAATAACAATTAAATTATTAGTTGTGTGGTTAACGGAAACGAACAACCTTCGATAAAATGGTCCTGATGGAGAAGAAGAGTTTTTGTCGTTTGTTTTTAAATGGCTGCGATGTGGTGAAACTTCTTGTAGAAGTTTACCTTCGATCTGCTTCAACTCTCTTCTTACGAACTAGGTAAGAGAGAAAGGTTTAAAAAGACAGGTTGAAGAACTAGTTCTTAAATTCCAGATAAACAACATTAATCACACAAAATAGCAATCTTGGCTAGGCGCAGTGGTTCACACCTGTAATCCCAGCACTTTGGGAGGCAGAGGTAAAAGGATTGCCTAAGCCCAGGAATTTGGGACCTGGGCAACTTGGTGAGACCTCATCTCTACAATAAATGTAAAAATTAGCCAGGCATGGTGGCGTGTGCCTATAGTCCCAGCTACTCGGAAGGCTGAGGCGGAAGGATTGCCTGAGCCTAGCAGGTTGAGGCTGTGGTGTCCATGAGTGTGAAATGCACTCCAGCCTGGGCAACAGAGTGAGACTCTTACTAAAAAAAAAAAAATAATAATAAAAAAATTTTAAAAAGTAATTTCAAGCACTTGAGGACACAGTTATATTAAATTTCAGTACTCAATTATTCATGACAATAAATGGAAATGATAAAATAATCCAATGTCTGGTGAAATTTACATTTAAATAAAGATATCGGCTGGGTGTGGTGGTTCACAACTGTAATCCCAGAACTTTGGAAGGCTGAGGCAGAAGGATCACTTGAAGCCAGGAGTTCAAGACCAGCCTAGGCTACAAGTGAGACCCTGTCTCAACTAAATAAATAAATAAATAAAGATATGTCTGACAGTTTGGTACTTGAGTGTTAGAACTTTCCCATTTCTATGAAGAAAGTCCTGAACAGACCCATGGAACAGTGCACTTCTAAATATTTTTATGGTCATGTATCCACAGCACATCCCCTCAGTTTCTGTGCCACTCCCTCAGCAACTGGCTTTAACTAACTTCTCAGGTTAACATAATCACAATCTATTAATTCCAATTACAGGTTGAAGACCAGGAGGAGCTTCAAATAGAAGTTCAAAGTTTCAAAACCTCTTCTAAATAAAAATTGCTAAGTGTCAACCTTCAAAGAATATGTGATTCAGATGGCGAGCAAACTCAGAGATTATGGTCCCTTAACTGGTACTTAGGATCAAGAAAATTGTCTATACCATCCGTTTCCCAGCTTCTGCAACCCTCTTCTTCCCCTCTTTATCTCCCCAGCTGCAGGCTCTTCTGGATTTGGCAGAAAGGTGCCCTGGCTGTGGTCTTGCCCTAACTCTCCACTTTAAATAGCTCAGCCTGCTCCTGCCTATCCTGCAGGAAATTAGACAAAAGCTACCGCCTACAGTTGCTGTTTCCTGGGTTCAGAATCCCCTCTCCATTTCCATCAAACCTCTTGTTTTTGCTGGGGTTTTCTTTTTTTTTGGCCTCTATGTTGTTCAGTCGTGAACCCAGTGTGCTCTTCTTAGGCACCTTCTGACTGCTACCTCCATCCTTCCCCAAAGTCCTATTTGCTGGGCTGCCCCTTAGCCTCATCCTGTGTACCCCCCAGATAAACACCGCTATATGCCCAGTTAGTCTCTTGATGATCTCACACTCTGTGGGGATCTTAACTGAGCACATCTGGGCAGGGAAGGAGATGCTAACTTTGACTTGCCTCTTCCTGTTCTAGCCCTTAGCTTCTGTGTTGTCCACTATCTGAATCCTCCTTGAAGCCAGCACTGTACTTGGAATACCTTGCTGTGTCCAAAATCTGGCATTCTGTCCCTGAACATTGAAATGGAAACAGAAGCCTGCTGTTGACTGACTGCTTGCCAAATGAACTGTCTGCTTCTAGATGGCTGGATGTCTCCCCATACCAAACTTTCTCATTCTTCTGAGCCATGGTGGACTAGGAACTGCCTCACCTTATCCTAACAGAAGACACTCCAGGAATCCTCAACAAAATATGGCAATTATTTTGCCATAGTTTTGCCAAAAAACTAAGCAATTACTTATACAGAAAATATAATTCCAGAGTAAAATGAAAGAAAACTAATATTTGGGGTTTCGAATTCACCCCAGAATCTGAAACTTAAAGAGGGGCTAACGGAAAAGCCACTTCTGAGTTTAACCGTCATAATGTAGCTCTGTTAGTTTCTATCACATGTAAAGCACCAAAGTATCACACATACCCATATTTAAGTCTACATATCAAAGCAGTCAGAAGTCAAACTAAGTAAACTGGGAATTTCTGTGTCCTTGGGTACAGAGGGTGATTACATGTAAGAAACGAGTGAAGAAGAAACAAATACACAAAATATCTAGCAGATATCACAGACTGGAATAAAGAACAAACAGCTCTTTATGAGAAAATGCTGTGATGAAACAAACACCGTGAGGACCATGATCATGTAATACTGTGCCTTTGATGCAGGACCACGTGACAACCAAAGGCCAGTGGAATGGCGCCTGTGAGATGCTGCATCTGAAGTGGGGAAGTGAGCCTCATCATGCTCTTCCAGTTGTTAACAGCACATATCATGGCCGCCTTACCCAGGTCGTTATTCTTTGTGATGGCAGCTGCCACCCTTGTTCGTGGCCCTTGCTTGGTAAACTGATATCCAAACTTGAGTATCCTTGAATTCTCCTCCAGCATCTGGGCGATTTCCATCTCTACGGCTGTTCCTAGCTGCTGCCTCTGGTTGCAGGTGCAGACCCATACACAGGACAACCAAGAAGGAAAAGGAAACAGTTACTTGCATAGGAAAGATACCTGGCTACTTGTTGGACAGAAAGGCCAAGAGGCAAAAGTCTCAAATGGAAAGGGACATCATCACTTGAGATGTTTTCTCCCATTTAGTCATCTGAGTCCTGCTCCTTGTCTAGAAGCAATATCCAACACAGATAACTGAATCCACTGGTGTCCTACCCTGAAAAAACTAAGCAATTATTTATGCAGGAAATATAATTACAGAGTAAAATGAAAGAAAACTGTTTCGAATTCACACCAGTATCTGTGATTGAACAAAGGGTATTTTTTTAAATAGTGAAACTGTTTCATGGTAGCCAATCCAGTTATTAAATTTTTTTTTTTTTTTTTTGAGTTGGAGTCTCACTCTGTAGCCCAGACTGGAGTGCAGTGGCTGCTCCCGGCCACCGCAGCCTCGACCTGCTGGGCTCCAGCAATCCTTCCACCTCAGCCTTCTGAGTAGCTGGATCTACAGGCACGTGCTACTACGCCCGGCTAGTTTTTGATTTATTGTAGAGATGAGGTCTCGCCAAGTTGTCCAGGCGGATCTTGAACCCGCGAGCTCAGGCAATCCACTCGCCTCAGCCTCCCAAAGGCGCGGGATTACAGGCTGAGCCACCGAGGCCGGCTTAGTTATTAAATTTTTAATTCTGGCATCCATATCCAAAAATAATTAAAGGTCATCAACCTATGGGTTATTGTCTTTCAGCAGAATCTCAGTAGAAGATCCTGAATTGGCTTCACTGTGGTTTGTACCACGCATGGATGGATAATTATTAAACTCTGAAGGAGGTTGCTGGGTTACAGAAAAATCTCCAAGTTGTTTAAGTTGGTGGGAAAAGATTTTGTTGTTTAAGTTGAGACATAGAAGAGTAAAAAAATTAAAAGTAAAGTTTGTTTTTTTTTTTGATGGGGCATGTAAATTTTAATTTAAGGGACAAAGTATATTTTTTCATAATATAGTCATACATTTTAAAAAATTTGAGTTGGAGTCTCACTCTATCGCCCAGGCTGGAGGACAGTGGCATGCTCACAGCCACCGCAGTGTCGACCTCCTGGGTTCTGGCGTTCCTTCTTCCTCAGCCTTCCAAGTAGCTGCAACTATAGGTGCACACTACCACACCTGGCTAATTTTTGATTTATTGTAGAGACGAGGTCTCGCCAAATTGCCCGGACTGGTCTCAAACCTGCGGGCTCAGGCAATCCACTCACTTCAGTCTCCCAAAGTGCTGGGATTACAGGCTGAGCCACCCATAGGGTATCTTGGGGCATTTCTGCAAGAGTGTCTGAAGGGCAGATTACAAGTGGATTGAAGCATGTTTCTAATTTTGATATATTACTGATTCACCCTCAAAGGTTATGACAATTTTTGTTCCTGCTAACAGTGTATGAGTGTTACTGTTTTTTCTACTCTAACCTAATGAGATATTATCTCGTTAATCTTTATTAACCCACTTGTGAAAAATTATATTTTACATGTATTTATTCAATTGCTTTAATTTGCATTTCTAATATTATGAATAAGAACAATTAATTTTCTTATTAATTTTTATTTTCATTTTTTTTGTAAATAGACAATCCATGCCATTTGCCCATTTTTCTTTCTTTTTTTTTTTTTTTTTTTGAGTTGGAGTCTCACTCTGTCACCCAGGCTGGAGTGCAGCGGCACACTCCCGGCCAAACCAGCTATGACCTGCTGGGCTCCAGCAGTCCTTCTGCCTCAGCCTTTCAAGTAGCTGGAACTACAGGCATACACCACCACGCCCAGCTAGTTTTTTATTTATTATAGAGATGAGGTCTTGCCAAGTTGCCTGGACTGGTCTTGAACCCACAGTTCAGGCAATCCACTCGCCTCAGCCTCCCAAAGTGCTGGGATTACAGGCTAAGCCACAAAGCTCGGCCCTATTTTTCTATTAGCTATGATTCCTCTTTCTTTTTTTTCTTTTTTATTGATTTGTAAGTTTCTTACATGTTAGAAAATTAGCCCTTTGTCAGATTGTCTTGACTTTCTGATTACTACACAGACTTTTTCATTTTCATACTGTGAAATTTATCAGTCTCCTAGTTTATTATTATTTTTTTAGTTGGGATCCCACTCTGTCACCCATGTAGTGTGACTACAGCCCATGATTCTGTTTTTCTAGGTTCAAGTTATCTTTTTCCTTTAGCCTCCCAAGTAGATGGAACTACAGGCGTGTGCCACCATGCCTGGCTAACTTGTCTATTTTTCTGTATAGACAATTTCTTGCTATGTTACCCAGGGTGGTCTTGAACTCCTGGGCTCAAGCAATCCTTCTGCCTTGCTTTCCCAAAATGCTGAGATTACAGGCATGAGCCACTGTGCCCACCCCTAATCTCCTAGATGGTATGCCATGTTTAGGAAGCATCTCTATTCCTCCTGATTTCTTCCATTTAAAAAAATTATTTCATATATATACCATCTTTTACTTTATTTTTCCCTGATTTGGAACTCTGACATATCACTGCAAAATTTTCAGGTATACTAAGGTTTGTCTCTGGAATCTGTTCTATTGCTCTGCCATTCTGTTTTTGCACCAGTATCATGCAATCTTGATTACTTTGTATACATTAAAAATATATACATTTTAAATTTGGAAAATTTAAGCATAGAATAGATGAAGGAAAAAGTTCACGGAGGAATTTTTTTGTCCCAGGCCAAGTTTTATGTTTTGCTCCTTTCTTTCTTGTCATTCAGTAACTTGTCAAGAACTTAACACAATGTGATCTTTCCAGTCAGACAATAGCAATTGTGGGTATCTACAGTGTAGAGATTTAGTGCTCTAAGTAATGTGGGTCAACAGGAGGGAGAGATACTGACCTCAAGGTTCATCAGCAACTTTAGCAAATGACACACAGTTTAGGACAGTGGGACGGTATTAAGAAATGAGAACTGAGCTAAGGCTGGGGATGCCAGAGTTATGGCTTGTGCCCCTGGAGAGGGCCAAAGTGGTACACTTGAGTCCTGGACTTGGGGAGCCTGCAGTGTTAATGAAATGGTTGAAAGTTACCCCGTGGGCTCGGTGGCTCAGCCTGTAATCCCGTGCTTTGGGAGGCTGAGGTGAGTGGATTGCCTGAGCCCGTGGGTTCGAGACCCGCCTGGGCAACTTGGCGAGACCTCATTTCTACAATAAATCAAAAAATCAGCGGGCGGGGTAGCGCGTGCCTGTAATTCCGGCTACTCGGAAGGCTGAGGTGGAAGGATCACTGGAGCCCAGCAGGTCGAGGCTGCAGTGACCGGGAGCGGCTACTGCACTCCAGTCTGGGCGACAGAGTGAGACTTCAACTCAAAAAAAAAAAAAAAAGAAAGTTACCTCAACACCTATATTTCCAATGATCTGAGTCCCTCCTCTCTAAATAGCTGGTTATTGTCTTAGTAGTTTAAATTTTGTTCAACACCCTTATAGTTGCTTTGTTTTGTAGTGAAAGGCAAATCATATTTATTCCTCCTTGATTTAGATTTTCTATTTATACAGATGTCAACTGTAATATCTTCAGGGGTTTTCTCTATTCTGTAGTGAATCTTGAATGACATTTTGGCAAAGTAGTAAATTAGATACACCACCTCCTGTTTTATCATGTTAATTGCATAAACCATTCAAATAATCTGTGAAGGGTCACAGGGACTGTCACTCCAAAATATGGCTCCCTGGTATAATGAGTGTTTTGAATTAAAGGCCCTTAGAGATCAACAGATGCTAAAAGAGAATTTTCTCTGTCTACATAAAGACCAGACAGACCCACCAAGGAGAACAACTATTTTTCCTTCCCTGCTCCTGTCTCTCAATCCTCTACCTCTCCCAAAGCACAGGCTGAAGGTCTCTTGTCTGCTTAAAGTCTGGACCTTCCAGAGAAGAAAACAATTCCCTCTGGTCCCTTCCCTAAATTTCCATTAACTGAATCCAGGAAGGAAGATTAAGCCTGCCGGAAAACCTAGACAGACTTTTGTCACAAACCATTGTTCACTCTGTGGCCCAACAGACTTTGCCCCAGATCATATGTTCTTCAAGCTCATTGAATTCCCCTAAAAATCAATTACTATCCCCTTAAAATAATCCATACTCTCCTATCACCCTTTCCCCTAAGAAGTAGGCTACATAAGCATTTGTACTCCTTTGGGATACAAGGTTATCACTCTGTGATTCTCCCTGTGTGCATGGTAGTAATAAATGTATATGTCCTTTCTCTTATTAATCTGCCGTTTTGTGAGTTGGTTTATCAGTGAACCTTCTGAGGATGAAGAGGAAGCTTTTCCTTCACCTCTATATCTGGTATGGAAACATGGGAAATATGAATAAGAGAATGATAGTTTTTATTTTTGATCTGTTTGAAAGAGGAGGGGTATGTTAATAGCAATGTAAAGGATTTAGAAGCTGAAGAAAATTATATTGTTTGGGGGGGTACATAAAAGAAGGGGAGGAGGCTGGGAACAGAGGTGCATGTCTGCTATCCTAGCACCCTGGGAGGCCGAGGCAGGAGGAGTGCCTGAACCCAGGAGTTTGAGACCGGTCTGGGCAACATATTGAGACCTTGCCTCTACAAAGAAACAAAAAATTAGCTGGGTGTGGCCACTGAGGAGGCTGAGGTAAGGATCACCTGAGTCCAGGAGGTCGACAGGATAGAGAGTTGCGATCATGCCACTGCACTCCAGCCTGGGTAACAGGGTGAGACTCCGACTAAAAAAAGTGGGGAAGAAGGAAGTAATGTAACATAGGGCAAGTTTCATTCTCAGCCTGGATCTTTTATTTATTTATTTTTTAATTTGAGGTCTTTTGTGTTACATAACTCAAGACAACAAATGGTCTCAAATTTTCTTATAATTTGGATATATTTTCTTTTCTTTTTGTTTCTTTTTTTTTTTTAAGGCAGGATTTATTAAGAGGACAGAAAAGCTCCCATAGTGGGAGGGGACCCAAAGGGGTTGCCCTATATTTTCTTTTTATTTTAAGTCACTAAGTACAAACGAAAATAAACAGCAATAAAAGTTTAGGCATATGTCTTCAAATCCCTTTCGGTTTTTTTCTAAGTGACCTCTTTTATCCACTTAAATTTATTTAGCAGTTGCCCATCTGTTTCTTTAATATGCATCACTGATTGTTCTTCTCACTGGGGCACCTGATTAAATCGTTGCATATTGACCTGGAGCCTCTTCACAGCAGCCAGCCCCCAGTAGTGGCTTCTCAGCAGGCCTTCATTTTGGTGCAGCTGCCTGCTGCTATGATGCTAAATTGGTCTCAGCTTCTGGTTCTGCCTGAGGAAAATGTCTTAGAGATTATTTTCTTTCAAACCCTTCATTAGACACATGAGAAAACTGAGGTTACTTCTAACAGTGTATGAGTCAATAAACACGATTTGGATGTAAGACAAGCTTTGACTTTGAATTTCCTCATTTCTCGAGTAAAGCAAAATTTTTTTGTTTTTTTGTTTTTTTTAGAGACAGGGTCTTACTGTTACTCAGTAACATGGCATGATCATAGCTCTCTGCAACCTCAAACTCCTGGGTTCAAGTGATCCTCTCGCCTCAGTCTCCCAAGTAGTTAGGATTAGAGGCACACCACCATGCCTGGCAACTTTTTAAAACACTTTTTGTAGAAATGGGGGTCTTACTATATTGTCCAGGCTGGCCTTGAACTCCTGGCTTTAAGCAGTACTCCCACCTCAGCCTCCCAAAACACTGGGATTACAGGTGTGAGCCACCATGCACAGCCTAGAAAATCTTAATCTCCCTGGTCACACACAAATAAAGAGAAGCACAGTGGAGGACTAAAAATTACACAAATCTATTTGTAGATGGCTGAGAAAGGGTGGTGGGGTTGACTTAGAGGGGATTTAAGAGAGCAAGTTCTTTGTATTTCAGGGTATTCACAGGCAATATAAAAAGGTGCTCTATTCTAAATTTTCAGAATTCCAACTCATTCACTAGGTATAGGGTTGCCAGATTTTGCAAGTAAAAATATAGGACACCCAGCTAAGTTTGATTTTCAAATAAACAGCAAATAACTTTTTAGGATAATATAAGAATGTCTCAAATAGTTCATGAGACATTCTTTTTTTTTTTTTTTTTGAGTTGGAGTCTCAGACTGGAGTGCAGTGGCCACTCCTGGCTACCGCAGCCTCGACCTGCTGGGCTCCGGCGATCCTTCCACCTCAGCTTTCCAAGCAGCCGGAATTACAGGCATGTGCTACCACGCCCGGCTGATTTTTTGATTTATTGTAGAGATGAGGTCTCACTGCCCAGGCGGGTCTCGAACCCGCGGGTTCAGGCAATCCACTCACCTCAGCCTCCCAAAGGCGCGGGATTACAGGCTGAGCCACCAAGCCTGGCTGAGACATTCTCATACTAACAATTATACATTATTTAGCTGAAAGTCAAATTTAACTGCATTTTATGTGGCAACCTGGGCTAGATGGTATCGTGTAAGGAACCAAGAATAGGGTATCTGTGACATTATTTTAGAGAAGGGATTTCCCAGTGGCCTAAACCAACACAAAGAAGTTGAATATACTTTGGAACAAGGTATATTTCCTTCAGTCTTAGATCTCTGGGAAATATTTCTTAAGACCCCACTTAACTTCTTGACACTAATCTACTCAACAAATATCCCTGAGTTATCACTTCTTTTCACTCACTTCATATTTCTCTCTAGCTTATTTCTCTACTCCCATGCTCCCTGATGCTGTGTTCCTAATTTACTAGCAGTTGGATGTACTCCAGGATACACGGCATTGAGCCTCCCCGAGTGTGTGGGGCCGTGTGTGGCACACGCCCTAGGGTGCTGCCTCCACAGCTCTGCATCTGGGAAAAATGTTCTGGTGGTGTATCCTTTCTGGCAGAGTGAGCATGAAGAAGCTCCAGTTTCATGGTGCGATTTCTCTACTCCTTTGGCAACAATCTCCAGGAGTCCAGGGCCAGAGCACCTGCTCTGAACATCTGAGTATTTGAAACAGCCCACCTGTCCGGTTAGCAAAGACAGAGAGGAGAGCCTCCATGGGAGTTATTGGGGGTCTCAAGGCTTAGGCCATAGTCTGGGGCTTTATGATCTTGGAGGGTCTGGGCCAGGCAATCTCCCAGATGTGGCCCCAGCCATGCAAAGGGTGCTCCCCCCACTGTCTCTCCCAACCACACCACAGGAGAATGCTCACACCACAAGTTTCCTTGCTCTCTCTTTCTAGTCCACTCCAGGGCCCTTTCTCTTCCAGGTGCAGCATCTGGACCCTCAGATTCACTGGAACCCCATCGCAAACACTTCCCTACAGCCAAAAGAGCAGGGCACAGCAGAGCAACTCCAAAGGCACTGCAGGCTGATACTGGAAAAAGAGGGTCTCCAAGGTACAGGAAGCAGTGGCTCTAGGGAAAAGCTTGCTTGGTTGTAGCTGAGAACCTGAAAAATGCTGTGGTGGTGATCACACTGTGGGCGTGGCCTACTGTTCTAAGCCAGACCATCTTTTGGAATCCTGAGCCCTTTAAATAGACCCTCAGTATCCAGCACCAGACTGCAGGAGCCTGAGTCAGCTCTAACAGCTTCCAGCCAAGGAAAAGAAATCTGAGTCTCTGGCCAGGGCCACCCCCTGCTGTCTCCTTTTAGTCACAGTCCCAGTGAAAAGCAAAAGTAAGGCAGGGACAGGACTGTGCTGAGATTCACACTAGAAGTCAATAACGATGATGGCTGAACAGAGCAGCTGTCAACACCTCTGCCACTACCTCCTTACTTTCTCCTCTGGTGCCTGAGCAGCCTAGGGCTGGTGGGAGATAGCTGGCTCTTGATGTCTCAGGCTACCCCACTGTGCACTGTGTAATTAGTAACATGCTCTTCTGCACACCCTCCATGGGCCAGAAATTGTTATAACTTACAGGAAAGTCAGAACATCAAATGGAGTCACAAACAGCACTCAGTCTTTTAAATCACTCCTTGTGGTATTTCCCCCTCTTACTGTGCACCCTGTGGGCTGGCTTTGCCTGCCCCTCCGTACCTGGTTATCGATTTTGATCTCTGTCAAGGTGTCATTTTCTTTCAGTGCCTCTACCAGAGCCAGGATCCCAGTTCCAGTGATAAAATTCGATTCTATGTTTAGACTTTTCAGGCTCTTGTTTACTTTCAGCATATCTGCAAAAGCCTTATTATGCAGAAAGAAATAACCATTAGAATTTCTAAACATTGATTTACTAAACCCCTCATTCCCAAATTAAATACCAATACTTTTTTCCATCATTAAAGAAAAGCTTCATCAAATCATATTTTCACCTCCAAGTAATAAAGATAAAATTTAAAACTGCAATAAAAATAGTTTAGTCCACCAGTCCAGAAATTTAATAAATTTCACATACCTGCAATTTTTTAAAAACAAGATACTGACATAATTTGCCAACTTTTTTTGTTAAATAAGGACATTAAAAAAAGCACTACTGGCTGGGCTCGGTGGCTCAGCCTATAATCCCAGCACTTTGGGAGGCCAAGGTGAGTGGATTGCCTGAGCCCACGGGTTCGAGACCTGCCCAGGCAGCTTTGCGAGACCTCATCTCTACAATAAATCAAAAATTAGTCAGGCGTGGTAGCGCATGCTTGTAGTTCCAGCTACTTGGAAGGCTGAGGCGGAAGGATCACCGGAGCCCAGCAGGTTGAGCTGCGGTGGCTGGGAGCATGCCACTGTACTCCAGTCTGGGCGACAGAGTGAGACTCCAACTCAAAAAAAAAAAAAAAAGCACTACCATCTGTTATCATTATCAATATTTTTTTAGAAAAGACTTTTTTAAATTAAGAAGAAAGGAGAAATGATATAATCCCAGAATTACCTCATCTTTTTTTTTTTAATTAAGAATGGATAAAAATGCTTTACCATTGACTAGTACTGGAGCAATACTGATTTAGTTACATTATTTCAGAGCACCTATAAATCAAAATTCTTTAAAGATAACTTTTGAAACAAAATCACCACTTGAAGTGGCAAACCCACTGGAGACCTCAGTTTGATACAGCAGACTACACACACACACCCTTGCCTGCTGTTCCCCTTATCTTCCAAAGTTTCCCACCATCACAAAGAAAATATATAAAAATTTTTAGGAGACTGGAACTCTCACAGTGCAAGAAAATAAAACAAAACAAAAGGTCAGTCATATGGAAGAACTGTTGAAATACAGAAAATAGAGAGATTGGTGATGAAATTAGCACAAAGTTGTTGCCTGGGATGCCAGAGGTAGGTCCTGTTTGGGGCAATTTGTTAGAAAACTGCCCTGGGAACAGATAGAACAGGAAGAGCAGATGGGGAGCACACGACCCCTCCCTAGCACCTTCCTGGGAAAAGGGCAGATACCGGCACAGCTACCAATGAAAAATCTCCCAGGAAGAGTCTCTAGTGAGGGAGCTGCGATCTATAAGAGAAGCAGTGTGGACACCCAGGCATTTCCAGACCTTCACTCCAGGTACAGTATGGGAGAAAGGAGGGGAGGGTAGCTCTGCCAGGAACAAAATACAGCAACCACCCCTCTCCCCTGTCCACAGTTTCATTTACCCAAAGTCAACTACAGTCAGAAAATATCAAATGAAAATCCCAGAAATAAATAATTCATGAGTTTTAAATCGCACACCATTCTGAGTAGCGTGATGAAGTCTCGTGCCTTCCCGCTCACTCCTGCCCAGAACGTGAATCACCTCTTTGCCCGGTGTTCCCATGCTGTCTACTCCCTGACTGTGAGTCATGGACATTGTCTGCTTCTGACATCCAGCTATTGACACAGTCATGGCTCCATGTCCAGGATCATCAGTAGCAGATGAGGATCCTCCTTCTGACCTATCATCAGAAGGTTAGGTGTAGCCTAGAGCTAAGTCACAGAGCCTAAGTCACGTTCCCCTTACCTCAAATCATCACATAGGCATTTTATCTTGTCACACCATCACAAGAAGGGTGAGTACAGGACAGTAAGACATTTTGGGAGAAACTATATTCACATACATTTTATACAGCATGTTGTTTTGTATACATATATGTAAATATATATAAACACACTAATAAAATTGTTCTATTTTAGTAGTAGTTACTGTTGTTAATCTCTTATTGGGCCTAATGTATAAATCGAACTTTACACAGGTATGTATGTGTAGGAAAAAACATGGTATATATAGGGTTCGGTACTGACTGAGGTTTCAGGTTTCCAATGAGGGTCTTGGGATGCATCCCTGGTGGATAAGGGGGGTCTACTGTATACTGAACTGTGCCCTCCCAGAATGAAGCCCTCCTAACTGTAACAATTTCAGGGTCTCTCAGGCTGCCTGTCAGCTCCTTACTACAGAGAAGGTTATGGGTCAAGTCACCTGACTGATGAAAAAAACTCTCATTCATTTATTTTAAAACAAAACAAAAAATAACTGGGTGCAGTGATTCACACCTATAATCCCAGCACTTTGGAAGGCTGGGGCGAGAGGACTGCCTGGGCTCAGGGGTTCGAGACCAGCCTGGGCAACTTGGAGAGACCGCGTCTCTACAGTAAATCAAAACATCAGCCAGGTGTGGTGGCATGTGCCTGTAGTTCCAGCTACTTGAAAGGCTGAGGCAGAAGGACTGCCTGAGCCCAGCAAATCGAGGCTGCAGTGGCTGTTAGTATGCCACTGCACTCCAACCTGGGTAACAGAGTGAGACTATAACTAAAAACAAAAAACCAAAAACCCAAGACAAAACAAAACAAAAAAACTATTTATTGGGCTTCTACTATGCTCCAGCAATAGAAAATATAAAAATCCCTGTCCTCAGGAAACTTATATTTGAACAGGAGGGCAGAGTCAATAAATTAATAAATAAAATATATGGCTTATCAGATGGTGAAAAATGGAAAAAAATAAGGAACCTCCTTTTTAAGGGAGAGATCTGTTGGCAAAACAGATCTATACAACTGCAGAAGAAATAATCCTGGTTTATACAAACCAACCTTATTCTTCATGTTCAAAAATATAAATGAGCAACCAATAATTGCCAGGTATATGAGGAAAATCAACATCATGAAAGGAAAAAGTGAATTGATCAAACAGGACAATATGACATAGAAAGAACAGAAATAAACATTTTTAATTATGTATTATTCTCCACTCCTCTCTGCCTTAGGGGGAAAAAAAGAGAAGGGAAAGGTATTACTTCCATAAAATAAACACTTTTTTTTTTTGAGTTGGAGTCTCACTCTGTCACCCAGGCTGGAGGGGCATGGCATGCTCCTGGTCACCACAGCTTCGACCTGCTGGGCTCAGGCGACCCTTCTGTGTCAGCCTTCCAAGTAGCTGAAACTACAGGCATGTGTCATCATGCCCAGCTAATTTTTTAAATTTATTATAGAGACAACGTTCTTGCCAAGTAGCCCAGGCTGGTCCCAAACCCGTGGGTTCAGGCAATCTTCTCACCTTCCCCTCCCAAAGTGCTGGGATTATAGGCATGAGCCATCGTATCTGGTCAAACAAATTTTTTAAAAATACACTGAAATAAAAGAAATAATACACACCCAGAATTATAAAATGAGCATGGTTGGTGATCTAGATGATAATGCTGAGAATATTTCCAAAGATGTAGAATAAAATGATAAAGAGACAGAAAATATGAGAAAAAATGTAAGCAATATGGAGGAAAGATGCAGAGGTTCAACATTCATCTAAGAAGAGTTTCAGAAGGACAAAAGAAACAAAAAAAAGACAACAGAAAAGAAGAAATTATCAAATAATTAAGGAAAAACCTTCCTAGAGCTGAAGAAGGGTATGAGTCTTTGTCTGAAAGAGACCACTAGATACTCAGCACGATGAAAAAAAACATTAAAAAGTCTTGTAACTGGACATACAAGTGAAATTTCAAAATTTTTAAGGAAAAAGAGAAAGAGTACTGAAAATTTCTAGCAATAAAAAATAAGTGGGCAACCCCTCAGGTTCCCTCCCACTGTGGGAGCTTTTCTGTCCTCTCAATAAATCCTACTTAAAAAAAAAAGTTACCTACAAAGGAGCAAGAATCAGACCAGCATTAGTCACTTAAAGGCCCATGAGAACAGACAATTTACATTTACATCATTAGATAACTGTAAATGCTGATAATAGGCTTTTAATTTTTGGAATCAATCAATATGCAAAAAAGAATAATTACATAAAATGTATAAAGCTCCAAAGTGTGGAAATAATGGAATAGCTAGAAATCTGAAGGTAGGAGAGGAAGGACGGAGGAAAAATTGTGTGAGTGTGGAATTGTCCTTATCTTTTATAATAGAGAAACAAAAATTATCTAAGGTGATACATAACAAATATACATTTCTGTATATTAGTGGTTTTCCACCTTGACTGCACACTAGAATGACCTGGGAAATTAAAAAAATTATATTAATGCTTGAGCCCCACCCCAGATGAATTAACTCAGAATCTCTAAGGATGTAACATGGCCTTCTGCATTTTTGAAAAGTTCTCCAAATGAATAATGTGCAGTTGGGATTGACAGCCACTTTAATTAAAGTTATAAAGACAACAACTAGAAGAATGAAAAACAAACTGCTAATAGTGATGGCTTCCAGGGAGTAGAACAAGGAAGTTCTAAACTATTCTAATTGTTTTTATGGTAGAAAAGAAAGGAAGAAGGGAAAAGAGAAGGAATCCAACATGTGACTAGAACAGAGTTTGTCAACTTCAGCATGACTGACATTTGGGGCTGGAGATGCCTTCGTTGGTAGGAGGCTGTCCTGTGTATCTGATTATATTTAGCAGTATCTCTGGCCTCTGAGACCCACTAAATGCCAACAGTACTCCTCCCAGTCACGACAACCAAAAATATCTTCAGACACTGCCAAATGTCTCCTGGAGGGCAAAATTGTCCTGGGTTGAGAATCACTGGACTAGAAGAATAATCCTGCACATTAGCCAGGCAGTTGCTTGAAATGCAAAGAAAGCTCAAGAATTTAGATTGACATGACAGCACACTATGTAAATTAAAATGTGTTTACTCAGGGCTATGTCTTTAATTAAAATTAAATGCACACATTTTAATCAGAGCACCAGAAGAGACTGTATCAGGCCTTTCCTTACAGATGCTCTAAGCTTTGGGATTTACTTTCATAATTAGAATAACAAAATGTCAGAGCAATTAGGCCTTTACAAAAAGTTGCC